AGGAGTTGCTGCAAGACTTGGCAGCCAAAGTCAGATCTGGCCGAGAAGATCGAACCTCCGTCATCCTTGCAAGGCTGCTAGGTCTCGACGACGGACACGAAGCGGAAGCGAGCGTGTTTGACAAGCAAGTCGAGATTTTGCTGCAAGAGAGGCAAGACAGGAAAGATCGCGAGGCTTGGGAACGCGAAGAGCTCGAGGAGGCAGCGTTGGAGCGGGAAGCTGATGGCGAAGAGTATTGGGAGCGCGCTTCTGACGTGGAAAACGCGTTCGGGCATCGTGATGGAAGCGCTGGGGAGGAAGAGGTGGGTGTATCGTCGGCCGAGGAGGATGTGAAAACCGATTTGAGCGGTCAGTCACGTGAAGGGGACGAGCGTATCGCACAGGAAGAAGGAGGAGCTGCTTCAAAATCTCGAAAGCCCTCCTCGCCCTGCAAATGACACATGTCAGGAACTATGCCCACGCTACAATGCTGATGGGCGGAATCGAGCAGCTACACCGGCTACAAAATCCGTGCACCGGCAGAATTCATCAACAACCCGTACCATGCCGCTTTCAGCGCACTCGGCTTTCATTCTTTGAATGTGGTCACGCTTCATGAGCTGATCGAGCTAGACTTCTTCACCAGCGCTGCCAACTCCTTCTCCAAGGATGACCAAGCAAGCCGGCTTGACCTAGCTCCCATGATCTTCTCGCTTCTTTCTTTGGCCAGCAAGAAAGCCTCGCCGGTATAGTGAGCGACCTGCTGGGCGCCACACCTTTCAAGGCTTCGCCAGTAGCAGTATGCCCACGCCGACGTCAGGAGCTACCTTCGTTTCGACGAGCAGCTTACTCAATGGGACGAGAGTGGCGTGTGCGTTTTCTTTGTCTTCGCTGTACACCCGAGCCGATGCACAGATTCTGCTGCAATTCATCGCCCAGCAAAGCTCTTTCAGCAATGACACCTTACGACATTGGCTTGACATATTGCCTATTCCATTTTGGGTGGAGAGCCACATGTCCCAAGCCTGGTGGATGCATCTTTCCCGGTAGGAGTCAGAGCACCATCAGCGGGCACAAACTTTGTCGCCATCGCCATCACCAACTCCGACTCTTTCTACACAGTGCAATGCATCTGTTCATCTACGAAAGGCGAGCAAGCTTGTGTGATTTGACTTGGAGTCGAAATTAAGGGCACTGGATTTGAGGGTGTTGTGAGAGCGAATGCAAATGAGGGTGAATGCGAGCGAAGAGAGTCTCTGGGTGGGAATGGAGCGAGCGAGTGCACGGACGCCAAGGTCTACCACTGCCAAAGACGCGAAGGGGCGTGCCAAGACACCTGCTTACTTGAACAGGGTGCTTGCCTTGGAGAAGTCGGGACGGAGCAGCTGGTCAGCGCGGACCGGTCGAAAACTCGCTGCAGCTGAAGCCTCCGCGCCACTCTCACCCTGGATTGCGCAGCTTGAAGCCCAGCAGCGACTATAGCACCAAAGTAGTTGCTGGTCGTTTTGAGATCAAAGGGGAGCACATTCTTGTTGAACTGGCACTTGGCGGGTGCTTTGCCGTCGAAAAAGTCTTGAAGGGCCACGACTGCGTTTGGAATGGTGGCCAGTCCGGTCTGCACATGCCCATCAATCGCAAATCCGTCGTACTTGATCAACGCTCCGTTCTTGCATTGGTCCTGCGCGTAGGCCAACGCATCGTTTGGAGGAACGACGT